CCACATAAGAGGAAAATTCAAACATAGTAGCAGAAATTAAATGTATTAAGAAACTGAACTTACAAAGCTAACGTTATGTGATCCTGTTTTGTTTTCTATTGCCTTAATTTGCAGATTTGATAAATATGAAAGACAGAAAAATCATATAAGAGGAAAATTCAAATATATAATAGTAGAAACTAAATGTAGTAAGAAATAGACTTACAGAGCTAACGTTATCTGATCCTGTCTTGTTTTCTGTTGCCTAAATTTGCAGATTTGATGAATATGAAAGATTAAGGAAACCACATAAGAGGAAAATTCAAATATAGTAGCAGAAATTAAATGTATTAAGAAACTGAACTTACAAAGCTAACGTTATCTGATCCTGTTTTGTTTTCTATTGCCTAAATTTGCAGATTTGATAAATATGAAAGAAAGAAAAGCCATATAAGAGGAAAATTCAAATATATAATAGTAGAAACTAAACGTAGTAAGAAATAGACTTACAGAGCTAACGTTATCTGATCCTGTTTTGTTTTCTGTTGCATTAATTTGCAGATTGATGAAAATGAAAGATTAAGGAAAGCCACATAAGAGGAAAATTCAAATATAGTAGCAGAAATTAAATGTATTAAGAAACTGAACTTACAAAGCTAACGTTATGTGATCCTGTTTTGTTTTCTATTGCCTTAATTTGCAGATTTGATAAACAAAAAAGAAAGAAAAGCCATATCAGTGGCAAATTCAAATAGAATAGCAGAAATTAAATGAATCAAGAAATGAACTTACAGGGTTGAAGTTATCTGATCCTGTTTTGTTTTCTGTTGCCTTAATTTACAGATTTGATAAATATGAAAGAAAGAAAGAAAAGGCATATCAGAGGAGAATTCCAATAGAATAGCATAAACTGAATGTAGAAATGAACTTACAGATTTGAAGTTATCTGATCCTGTTTTGTTTTCTGTCGTCTTAATTTGCGGATTTGATAAACATGAAAGAAAGAAAAGCCCTATCAGAGATACATCCAAAATATAACAGCTAACAGCAGAAATTAAATGTATCAAGAAATGAACGTAGTACAGAGTTGTAGTTGTTATCCCTGACTAGTTCAATCGATAAAACCGATAATCGATAACAATTGATAAAATGGATAAAAATTAGTTAATTATATCGGAAATCGATAAAAATCGATAAAGGGATACGTTGTGAGTAATTGATAATCGTCGATTTTTAAATTATTGTTATCGATTTTATCGAACTTATCAAATTTATCGGCGCAATACGTTTCCACGTATTTAAGGGCAGCGAGGCATCAGAACTTCCCGAAAACCAGTTTAACAAAAAATTACTCTCGTAGGATACATCAAACATTGAACAAATACATAACATGATGGGTATTATACATAACATGATTCATAAAGAACTTTAATTAAGTGACGGAAGTTCTACGTATCACGACGAAATGAACTTACAATGTTGACGTGCCTTGATCCCGTCGGATTCAGTTTAACTGAAGACTTTCAATACAGAGTATAAAATGATTGAATCAAATACATTAAAACAACAGATACGTGTTTTATTTAAAATATTTTTTTTACTAGTATCACAGATCAGGTTTTTGCAATCTGATTTGTTGCAAGGCAGGTTTGAACGTGGGTGGTATTAAAAATCATTTTCCGACTCGTTCTGCAGCAACGTTGCAAAACAAGTTACACGTTGTCCATTTTAACGTAGTTTTAAAACAATTTCAGATCAAACCCCGTCGAAGAAAATCTAGGGCGCCTCAATCGGATTCGAACCCAAGGCCTTTGCGTTAGAGATGCAGTGCTCCTCTACTAACTGGACTATAAATACCTATACGGGCATGATGTTTTGAGTTAACTGCCTCACGGTTGATGACCTTAGATTCATTAATAAGTTGAAAACAAACGAATTTTAACACTTACAATTTTTACGTGTATCAATTTCGCCCTGTTCGTCGTGAACGTTCCCTCGTTGGGGAAAGAAGCTTGAGTTATCCAGTCATCTGGAGACGATGTCAGTGGTGTTGTAGATAAGTTTGGTACATTCGATTTGTACACGGGCTTGCTGCTAGGTCTAGCTGTAGTTTCAGATCTGGGTGTAGGTCTGGGACTGTTAGCGGATACTGTTGACGATTTTCGCGTGCTTCTAGCTCTAGTTTTAGGTCTCGATGTAGTCTCCTTTATACCAACACTAACGCACCATCCTCTTTAATGAACACAAGATGAACAGGAGGTTTATTTCACTCAGATCGGTTTACATATGACACCAATTTAAAGTAATAATAACAATAATAATAATAATAATAATTTTACAAAATAAGGAAAGAATAAAAATTGTAGAATCTACAGCGAGTAATAGCAAAGGCAGGAACAAGGACGGCTCAGTGTAGTGCGCGGCCTTGGGTGAGCGAGGTCCCGAGTTCGATTCCCGGTGACATTACATCCTTCTTTCAACATCTCTCCGTTCTGTGTAGCTTTAACTACAATCCTCGACTAAAGTCCTTGGGACAGTACTGAAATATTCATATTTTTCTGTCATTTCTCGGTTCCCTCTTAAAACAGTGCATCCTTTTCTAAACTTCTAGCAGTTCTCCCTCCCCCCACCCTATAGAACGTGGTTATTACTTGGTGTTACGGGGCACGAACTTAAGCTAATTAGTATATGCCAATGTCTATGTATTATAATGGGAGTACCATGGTTTCGTAGTGGGGTTTAATTCCTCGCGAAGCGAGGCGCGAACCGCCGAGCCGCAAGGCTTATAATCTCGTCGCGCGTGAAGCGCGCGTGTATTACACGAGCAACGCAAGGCCAGCGTGATTTACTCTTGGCTATGAATCTATCGAGTTTGGTTGGTGTCCGCCTTGACGTCATCCAGAGTAGTGACGTCAAAGTGCATTATGGGTTTCCAGGCAACCGATGGCCATCGATGACAAGGCTCCGGGTTTTATTCATGAAGAGGGTTTTTTCATATGTGAATTATAACAATGTTTACGGTCGGTGAATCACCATCCAATATCTCAGGCAAATAAAAGAGAACAGCAGACTCAACGACAGTGGATTCAACAAGTGGCTCGAAATCTTCGCTGAGAAGAATTACAAACAAAATTGCGCAAAACCGAGAACGTCGACTTTAAATTCAGGGCGAGCAACGGCACAGCGAAGGTAAACGCTGTCAACTAAACACAGAGGGTGTAAAGAGGCAGCATCAAAATACTATAATTACACTGCAAATAAAGCCGACAAAGAGAGGGAACACCGACTACCGATGTTTCAGCAAAATGCGGTCAATAGAATTAGCAACGAACCGACGAGGAATCATCGAGAGGCAAGTTTACAGTCAAAATTATCCGTTCTTAGATACAACGATAGGCCTAGGCAGCAAGAATAACACCATCTGTAAGATCGACACGAGGACTATCTTTCTGAGGAAGACTTGGTCAGTTATTAAGCAGATTATTTCAAAAAAAAAACTGAACAACATTTTAGTAATATGAAAGACAGTACCGGTGTCT